CTAATCAGTCCTGTCCTTGCCGAGTTGGCTCAGAGTGGAGGGTATGGAGGAGAGTGGTAAGGTTTGGGGTTAAAGGAAGGGAAAGAAGAAGATCCCTCCCAGGGCCCAGAGCAGCAGTCCACAGTCAGGATCCCGGATGACTGGAAAACTGTAAACACAGGCCAAATGACCTGAACAGTGGGGTAACACATTGTCATTCGATGTTCTCACATCTCAGGGCACAGACAGAGTGAGAAGTGAGAGGAGGAACTTCAATGAGTTTAGCCAGGGTCTTGTTAAGGGTACGCTTGCCCTGGCTTTTCAGTAATAACTGAGTTAAGACGGCAGGGAGAGCCCTGGTGGGGTGATAGGAGCAGGTCCCCCCCATGCTCAGCAGGGGCCTCAAGGGAAGCCTTGCCAGCGGCCTTTTCCTGGGGACTAGGTCTCTGTCTTGCCTGCATTCTTCTCTGCCCCTGTCCCCAGGTTCACGTGTGTGTGTGTGTTTGTGTGTGTGTGTGTGTGACATCGGTTCCTGCATAGAAATTGTCTGGTTTCTCCTGAAACACCTTTTCTTCTCTATGCTCTGCCTGTGCATCCTCATCCCTACAGCTCAGCTCAGGTCTCCCCTTCAGAAAAGTCTTCTCTGAGTGCCCCCTACCTCCAAGGCGACTGTCACCCTGTGGACTCTTGTTTTCTTCATAGCACTTATCACGATCTGGATTTATCTTGTCCATGTCTGTTTCTTCATTGATTGTCTAGAAGGTAATTCGTTGTAGGCAGGGTCCTGACCACTCTGGACTATACTTGTACCTTCAGCTTCTAGAAGGGGCCTGAGGCAGGTGTGCACTCAATGAGTATCTGTTTAATGGCTAACAGCAGATGCACCAGGTCTCGAGAGAATGGGGGTCATATCAAGTCCCCTTGACTCTCACCCGAGGGCCCCCTCTGGAGGAGCTCTCAGCTGCCAAGATGGCGCTGGTAAAGAATGACAGATGGCATGCTGAAAGATTCATGGAATGGCATGTGACTACAGTTTTTTGAACCTGGACCCCTCAAGACAGGGGAATGAAGGACTCAAAACCTGACCTTTTGTTCCCCCTGTCCAGTCACAGGCCAGAGGGTTGAAAGGGGCCTCTGAGAGGGAGAGGGGTAGAAGCGTGGGCCCCAGGCCATCTGCCTGAGTGGAAGGTGTGGTGCTGTGCTTGTGAGCCTCCAATGTCATAGTCCTTGGGGATCAGTGGCCACTCCAGCCATGGGGAGTAGAGAGGCTCTTGGTCTAGCTTCGGGGGCCTCTGGGTGTTTGGGCCTTCAGATTGGCACTTTCCTCTGGACTTCTCTCCAGTGTTAGCACCAGTAGTCCGGCCTGCTTTCCTTTCTAGCTGACGTCCTTACCACACTTCAGCCCCCAGCATGGCCAACACCATGAGAGCTTGAAGACAAAGCACTTTGAGATTCCCCCCTGGCCCAAGCATCCCACCACCACAAAGTTCAGGAAATATTAGATAATGGAGGCAAAGATAGGGCAGGGAACTCAGAGAGGACCTCAAGAACTACACAGAAGATAGTTTCTAGAATAAGATGATGATGCTTTTGTCTCTCTTTGAAGGGGGTTCCTTCCCTCTTTCTATGCTTGCTAGTGAGTTTGACTGTCATTTTTTAGAGAGAAAATATCTAAGTTTGGGAAAGAAGATCCCCCCAGTCTAGATGGGAATATTTGGGGCAGGAGCCCTTCTCACAGAAATATGTCTGTTGGGCAATGTTGGACAAAATCATATGAAGAAGAGCAGGTGGGAGAGGGGCAGATGGTCCTTCACCCCACCTGTATCTTCTTTGTCTAGCCATGTTGGACTATCCACACCCCCCAAAAAAGGTCCAGTTTCTTGTGATATTCCCAAGGAGCATTCAAGACTGGTCTAGCAGAAACTCTGGGGCCTGGAACGAGGTCTGACTTCACCCTTGCCCGTCAGGCATTGATCTGGTGAGTTTCTGCTACCACCACACTGCTGTCCCCACAGAGAAAGGTGCCCCATTGGGCATTTCCTCTGCATGGACCGCACTGTTCTCCCAAACCTGCCCTCGCATTACCCCAACTCCCCACCCCACTCACTTCCCATCCCTTGCCCCTTATGTTTGTAACGAGGCTCTGGCCAATTAAGCCCTATTCTGCTTCCTGGTCTTGGGTCCATTCCCAGTGGGTCCCTTTCTGGCCTGGGCCTTGATCTCGGTGCAGCTTCCTCTTTCCTTCACAGTTGCAACCACCTGCCCTACCTGCCGAGGCGCCTCTCTCTGCCCTCAGCTATGGTCACCGAGGAAGCTCCAGCTGCCCACTTCCCGTCACCTGCCAGTCAAGTGCAGTGTCCATTTTATTGCTTTTTTTCTGCTAAGAATAGCAGAGTAACAAACAATATAAGGATGTTCCTGAATCTCCAACCATCATGAAGCATTTGTCCCTGACCAAGCAGAAATGTCAGTGGCTGGGCCTCCTCTCCTAGTTGAGTTCCCCAAGCTGTCTTTGCTTTCATATCTCTGGATTCCTTGAGTCTCTTGAATATCAGCTGAGATTACTTTGTCCTGGATATTGTATGTGGATTCACAGGCTACAGGGAGTCAGGGGGGCTTGGGAGAGGGGGAGCAGAATTAACCAGTTCAGTCAGCACAGGAGGACCCCATTAGAAGTGGGACAGCTGTCCCTGTCACACAGCCAAGGTGACAGGGGCAATGGCAGGTCCACACATCAACCCCTGAGCTTCCCAGCAGACCTAGCTCCCTCAGGTTGATGAAGACCTGGTCAAGGGTCTAAGCGTGTCCCAGCAGATGGTATAGATGGCAGGGGTTCTCCAAGCAGGAACACCTATACTATAGGCCTTCAAAGGTGGGATGCCCTTGGGGGCTGAACCTGCCTGAAAATTTGCTTTGCAGATGAAGGTAATGGGATGCAAGCTGGGCAATCTGGCTGTAAACAATTTTGGTAATGCCATTTCTGTAAGGGTGAGGCTTTAAGGTCTCTGAGGCGTGACTTCAATGCTGTCCTGGTTTGGGGGTATGCGTAGGCTTAAGAAGTTAGAATAAGTGAAGTTAATGGGCACAGAAGCTTAAGGATTATCCACCAAAGCAGCAAACTGCCTGTGGCCCTTGGGATCCTGACAATAGGGAAGACAATGGGAAGTAGGGTGCTCTGCAGACAAAAAAGGGGTGGCAGAGAGTGTGAAAATTGCTTCCGAAGGATATGGGTCGGAGGCAGGAAGGGACTTAAGTGCTGTCCCTGGTTGAAGAGCTTGGAGAGATGGAGGAGGTAGTGGTAGGGTCCTGAGTCAGGATAGTCCATGGGGCCAGTTCCTTCTGGATTGTGGCCTGGCCTTGAACTTGGCATGGCTGGACAGAGATTTTGCCTTCCATAAGTGTACTGTGGTCCACCAGCCTCTCCTAGGGAAGAAAATATATAAAATAACAGGAATAGGGGGCGGAGGTGTTGGAATGGGATGGGGCTTTTGGTCTTCAAGGACTAAAGTGAACATCATAGTGGACTAACCAGTTTCCATGCCCCTCCCCACCAAAAAAATTCAGGAGCAAGGGAGAAAAATCCAGGAATAAAACCCAGGTAGAGAGGTAACAACCTAAGGCTATGGTATCAAGGTATCAAGGCTATGGTTGGAGTGTGGGAGCATTCTAGTTTGTTCTGGAAAGAATGAAGGAGTAAGAGGAAGCAATCAGGAGCTTCTGGCTCTGTAACAGTGTATTAGCCACAATTTCAGGAGGTAACTAACTAGGCTTTTGTTTTGAAAGAAGAGGGTCAAAATTGTTTAATCATCAGTAGTTTGTGTGTTGAGGAACAGGCTCCCTGAGCTGGACTATGGAAACTTTGCTTGAGGTCCAAGAGGAAGAGAAAGGGGCAAAGCTGGTCCTGCGGGTGCCAGGGGGTCCAGGGATGGAAGAAAGAGAAACAGCCTAAAGGACTCAATTCCTGAGCAGGGAGAGCATTTGATGAGTAAGGTCAAAACAAAGTTCAAGCAACTGTGGGCACCTGGCTCCTGGCCCTGTCCCAAGCCACCAGACACTCAGGGACCTCCGAGTCTTGTTTCCTTGACCTGCTCTGGACCCCACATGCTGTCAGGAGGACCAAGATGAAACCAGGTATTTGGCTGCAGAGGTGCCCAGTGTGGGGGTCGCTCCAATGTGGACACAGCTGTAGAGGCTACAGCTGGCTCAGAGGCCAGCGGGAGTGATGCCCATGCCACCAAAGGAGACACAACCCTGCATCCAGGAGGGCAAGGAACCCCACCCTGGAAATAGCAGTGGGCCACATCTGGGGCCTGGGAGAGATCCTCCATTGTTGAATGAGACTGAACTTTAAAGTGGCCTGGAGATGCTTGCTCGGGGTTTTTTAAGCTACAGGCCAAATAAATTTTATTTTCTCTGTCCAAATGTTGTGTTGGTAAATGTTGCAGCCCTGCCCCATCAGCCACCATTGTGGTCATGGGACGTAGCACTTTGCGCTCCGAAAGGTCTCCTTGGCCGGCAGCATCCCCTGGTCCTCTCCAAGGGGCTCCTAAGCACATTTGTGTTGAGAAGCAGAGAGCAGTGCTGATACTGACTGATCCCACACATGATCTTGGGCTGAAACTTCTGTACCCTGCAACTGGGTGCTAGGACTGCAATCTATGATGGTGAGCCAAATGTGCACATCTGGTCTCTAGGGAGCTGGGCCTGGCTGACTCTCCCCATGCCCCACACTGAGCTCGACATCATCCCTGGAGGCTGACTCTGGAGACTGCCTTCTCAGGGTTTCTTTGTCCACCCTTCAAGAGTTGGGGATAAGTCTTGTGGGTAGAGGGTTTCTGGCAACCCCAACCCAGATGGATGGGGAAGTCAGACCAGAGGTGGAGACCGGATATTGTATTAAAGGGAACCTCAACTCAGACTGAGGACTAAAACATGTGATCATAAAGGGCTACATGGAGTGGGGTCTCCTGAGCAAGGGTGATGGTGGGATGCGGGGGGGTGGGCAGGGAAGGAGGCTTCAAGGTCTTTCAGCCGGGACATCAGAGGAAGGCAGGGGGAGTCTTCCCAAGGGATTTGGATGGTGGCCCAGGCATATCACCTGTGTCCACTGGGAGAGAAGAAATGTGGACGTTGGCAGGCTGAGCCCTTGGCTACCTTTCTGCCATCCTTAGCATGTCACCAGTATCCTCATGGTCACAAGATGCAATGCTCCTCTATGCATGCCCCACGGGAAGGGACAGAGGTCTGATGAGGCCAACTGAGCCCTTTCAGGCCTAGCACCTTCCACTTATAGCTCAGGAGCCAAAACCGCCTCATGTGCCAATACTGTGTGTAATCACTGAGGATAGGAAGGGAGGAGGGAGGACCTTGGGGTTCAGGCCTGCACCCCTATCAGCTGTGTTCTGTCATCTGGTTATCTCCTCTTCCATCACACAAAGATCCCCACATTAAATATGAAATAACAGGGTCACGAGACTTCCTACAGACCCCAGAAGTGTTGACTGGCCTCTTATGGCAACTGGGTGGGGAGCAAGATGGCCGTGGTCTCTGCCACCAGGGAGCAGGTAGCGCTCTGGGAGAAATTACAGCCTGGGGGCACAAGAAGCATTGGGAAGCATACAGGGGAGGTGTAATCCCAGTTGGGAGAGGGCAGCAAGTGGGGAGTGCTTCCAGAAGATGGAGACATCCAAACTCAGACCTAAAGGATGAACAGAAGCAAACCTGGGGAAGGAGAAGGGAGGGCAGCGAATGACACAATTAAGGAGCAGGAGGAATTCAGCCAGAAAGCCGAGTGAGGGCTTTGGCTGGAAAGGAATTGGGCCAGGCCACGGGAAGAGGGGTAGACAGAGATGGAATTGGGTGCGGGCCAGAGGAGGGCCTTGCCTGCAGGTGGTACAGTGGGGCTGGGGCTGAGGGCCAGGCAGGAGGCTACTACAGTTAGGAAGGCAACACCCAAGCTCGGGATGCAGGGCCAGAGATGGAGTGAAAATTCAGACAGCCCCACAAGGAGTGGGGGGTTTTCTGCTCCCTTTGAGCAGTGATCATGGGCGCAGCTCCCTCAGTCCTTGGGGGTCCTTGGGTGGCTGGGTCAGATGACAGTCAGGCCTCAACATAGCCCCTGAGCCTAAGACCCTGTGAGACGCTCCATTAGGAACGGAGAGGATGGTTATAGAGTCAGTCAGAAGGAGAAGGTGAGGCTGGAGAGGGGGCAGGAGGAAAAAAGGAAGGGAGCTTTCCCTTGTGAAATAGGCATGGTTTGTGCCCAGGGCTCTGAGGACAAGCGGGAACTGGTCAGGCTTTACCTAGCAGCTGATCAGAGCCTCATCAGGAGTCTGCCTGCTTCCAGGATGTGTGGTCGGTGGCAGTGGTGCCCAGCAGCTCAGGGAGAGGGGCCTGGACACTGGGGCGCTGGGTGCTGATTTGAAGGATGTGGAGATATGGCCAGGAGGCTGGGCCCAGCAGTCAGAAGCCCTCATCTAGGGAAACAAAGAGTATCAAGTCTGGTCACCTCCTAATGGAGCAGAATCAGTGCGTGGGACAGGCCAGAGGTGGCTTCAGCCACCAGGCAGGGGGTGCAGCTTAAGAAGAGTCTAGCCCTCACCTAGTCCAAAAGCAGCCATCCAGTTTCCTCCCTTTGTGGCATCAAAATTCTTTTCTTTGGCTTCATAACCATAATTGCAAACATAATTCACACCATTTCCTAAGAAAGAAATTTGGGGGAAAATAAAAATTTGTTTAAACTGTCATAAAAGGAGCTAGACATTTACCAATTTTTATGAGTAACCAGAAATTTTCACAAAGCACTTTGTGTTGATAGGGAAGGAAAAGGCAGCAGGGAACATGAGCATTTACTTAGTGCCTACTGTGTGCCTTCTCTCCATTGGTAGGCAGCAACACCCCACTTCTCCCAGCCCCCCAACCCCCAGTCCTTTGCCACTGCAAGACAGCTTGATGGGCTCAGGCACAGCCTGAGCTGAACATGCCCCTTACTCAGAGACATCCTGTGCCTCACCAGCAAGGACAGGGTAAGTGGCAGACCTCACGTTGGCACCTCTGGGCTGTGGGCAAATTCCTAACATTCTGAGCGCAGCACCATCTCCTATAAAATGGGGATAATAAGTCTCTTATAGGCTCTTGACTAGGAAAAAGTAAATGTGCCAAAGCATTGCAGAGCCTAAGCGTGATGCCTGACACATAGTGAGGGCTCAGGAGAAACAGCTTATTAAACAAGAATGGCCCCAACTTAATCTCTCCACCCCCGCTCCCCATCCATCCACACTTTTGGCTATCATGAAAGTATCTAGTTGTTGGGACCTCCCTGGTGGCTCAAGGGGTTAAGACTCAACCTATAAGCTGTCAGCAACCACTGCAGCATGAGTTCGATCCCTGGCCAGGGAGCTACCCACATGGTGTAGCAGACCCCTCCTGTCTCGCCCGCTGCTTCCCTCAGCAGTGTATTTCAGTCAGTCTGCCTGTTTTGCTTCCCACTCTGTCTCTGGTGAATCCTCTCACTCCCCACACCTCTGGCCCGTACCCCAGTTCTTGTATGCATAAATAAATCTTTTTAAAAAAAATCTAGTCTTTTACAAACTGCCAACTTCTTTCCACACCTCCTGTCCCTCTGCCTCTTGTTAGTCTCAGTTCAGCAGCTCTGAAATGCCCTTACCCTGTCACACCCTCCTTTTCTTCTCATAAGGGCCATGGCTACCCCCCTGTCTCCTTCCAGATGTCCTCCCGCTCACTCCCAGGAGCACCCTGGGGGCATGGCTGCCATCACCTCAGCCACACACACCTGTGCTGTTGAAGGAGGTTCTCCAGCAACTAGGGGCACCAGGTGAGAATGCTGAGACCCACCCTTGAAGCATGCAGGGAGGGGAGAATCCTAGAGGTTGGGTAAGGAGACTACAGCTTGCCCTGGCTTCCCTGGTTCCCAGATTCTGAAGCACTTTGACCATCCTGACTCCCTCCAGTAGCAGCAGACTACACTCAGGAGTCCTCCCACTCCCAGGGAGTGCCACAGTCCCACGTGACAGACTCCAGTCTTGTCCCTCCACATGAGTCCCCCATGTTCTTAGTAAACAAGCCCTGTGTTTTAGTGGGGATTGATGTCGTTGCAGCTCCACGGTGCCCCGTGGCAGCCAGGTGTGGCTGCTTGACTGACAGTGCCAACAATTGCCACGTGTGGATTTCAAGCAGCACCTCAAAGGGACAAATGTGCTCCTCTTCCAGCCACTCCTCCTCCCTGCCTGGAAAGCAGACAAAAGAGAATGGCAACCAGAGAGCCATGGCACCATTAAGAACCAGCCCTGGGAGCCCCCAATAAGGTGAGCGAAATGTCTACTTTGTTGAAGCCTCCTCCAGGCAGACCATAAGCATGATGGCCTCTCCATCCCTCTCTCTCTCCCATCCCTCCACCATGAAGCACTTCCCACATGCAGAGCAGGAGAGGGATACAGAAAGCCATTAGAGGCATGGAAGGGCAGGGGTGCCAAGGCACAAGTCCACGGAGGTGGATTGGGCAGAAGATTTGTCAGTGCAGGGCTGGTGGACAGAACCTTCTGGAAAAGTAGGACATGGACTGCCCCTCAGTTGAGTCAACACATAGAGTCCTATTGTGTCCACTCCATGTACACAGGGCCATGTACTAAGACAGAAACTCAAAAAAGACCCTGCATCACAGCCCCAGGGTTCACCCCTGTCAGGCTGATCTGGGACAGCAGTGTGCTTCCTGAATGTTTAACCAGCTCTGTGGGCAGAAAAGCCCTGAGGTGCTGTGTTTGCAGACCTCTGCACTCTAAATCCTCCATCATGGTGACACCAAACTGTAAACACAAAGTACCTGAAACTGGAACAGGGAAGACCCAAGATCAGCTCTCAGAGGCAGCTCCCACACTTCTCTGCAGGGGGCTTCTCATCACCTGTCACAGGTCCCCACCCTATCATGGAGTCTTAGCCTTGAGTTCAAAGGTTTCCAGGTGTTCTTAGTAAACAAGCCCTGCGTTTTAGTGGGGATTGATGTCGTTGCAGTTCCACGTTCTGGTCCCTGGGCAGACAGGGAATGGGCCCCAGAGCCTTCCCACCAGCTTATACTTTGTCCATGACAGGTAGGCCATGGCCACTGGCTAATGGATAATTGTGGACAGTCAGTCACAAGAACACCCTCTTGAGGTGTTCACTCCCCCTGATTTCTACCATCGCCACTCCACCCTTCCAAGCCTTTTCCCACTCTCCCAAGGCTTTCCCTCAACTTTAATCTCTCCTCATGCTCAGAAGGGACATTTCCCCAAGGTTTGGCCTCTGCCCAGCATAGAAGTACATCCTCTTCCTGCCAGGTTCTTGGCCTTGCCCCCACACAGTGCTTCGGCAGCTGTCTCCTTCCTGGGCTCTCATCCCCTCATCCCTGCCTGTGCCCCTGCTGCCAACCCCCTGCCTGTCCCAGAGGAGGCCTCCACAGACTGCTGCTTTAGGGAGGCTGCAGTTCTGTCAGCATTCTGGTGGCTGCCATGAAGTGCTGTCTTCAGGAGAAAGTGGAACGTTTCCCTCAGCCTCCCTGCCTGGCTCTACACTCCCAGCCCTGAGCTGGCCTGGCATCATCTGCTCCACCTCCAGGCAGCTCAGAGACAAGCCCCCATCTGCTGGGTGGCCTGGGGCACTGAGGCTTTGTGACCCCCAGGTAGGACAGGATCTGGGCTCCAGCCTCCAGGTTCCAAGGTGCCAAGCCTGCAGGGGAGTTACTTAATGACCTTGTGAGCAGTAATTACACCCCAGGGCCCGCTCTTAATAACCACGTATTCTCCCTGTCAATGTGCCTTAATTGAAAATGAGTAGGCGATACAAGTTGCTGTGAAGTTGGCTGGCAAGCCCTTAACGTGATATTAATTGTAGTAATTAGTAGTCACTTTGTGTTGGAGTCATCTATAAATAGGGGGTCCATTAGTTTAGCAAAAGAGCGTGATTTAAAATGCAAATAAAAGCCCAATTAGACAGATAAATCACTCCTCTTCTCAGCAAATTATCATCTGGGATGGGGTGAGGGGTTGCAGTCACTTTGAGGATACATTGGTCAGTTCAGGGGCTTTGGTTTCTTAAGCCAACTGAGCAGTCCATCTGGGACACTGTCCCTTTAAACAGGTTTACCCAGGCTCCTTCAGGAGGCTGTCACTCTCAGGGCTTCCCACAGATTCTTTATTGACAAGACTGGTGGGCAGGCCCCCGTGTAGCTCCTCCCCCTCTCTTCTGATTGGTTCCTTCTATCTACTAAAGAGCACTTTTTAAAGGAACAGCACAGTGTGTCACTAGGTCCTGAAAGAATGGGTTGGAGATGTAGGAGGAGTTTCTTCTTTAAATGCAGTTCACAGTCCAGACAGAGGACGCACATCCTTGCATGAGTTGTCCTATGACCCAAAAGCAGTTAAAAAACAGACTCACAGCATTGTTCTATGGGCAGGCAACTTACTCTCCACTTCTTACTCCCCTCCATAGAAATAGCTCTGGCGATTACTGCAATCACTCACACACACACACACACACACACACACACACACACACACACCCCTCACACAGTATTTCTCACAGGCTTTGGACAAACGTTGGAGGTGGAAATGACTGAAAGTAGAAGGTGGCAGAGAGATGTGGACTCAGCTTCAAGGCCAGAGGGGAGGCTGTCTAGGTCAGCTGTTGTTTGACTACAGCTTCACTTTCTCAACACTTGCTCAACACTTTCTCCCAGGCCTGTGTTTCCAGTCTCACAATTAGCAAGGCTGTTGATATGTGCCTGGGGACATGGGTGAGAGGCCTTCTCTCTTGGGTCAATGGACCTGCCAGAGACCTTGCACTCAGAGTCCAGATCTGAGCTCTTCCTGCTCCCACTTCTGCCTGCCACCCCCTTCACCCCAAGAGCCCATCACTCCCTCTTGGACTACTGAGGATGGCTTTCTCACTGTATTTGCATATTAATGAGCCAGAGCCATAACATAAAGCAGTCCCCAAACACAGGTAAGAAGAGCAATTGTCCATTCCAAGAAGAGTTCTTGCTCTTGTCCAGGAAATGAGAGGAAGGCAGGCAATTTGAGAGTGTTATCCTATAAGGTTTTCATTTACCCTTGATTTTATTATCCTTTCCTTTATGATGCAATGCTTGAAATAGGTGACAGCATTTGTGATTTTTAATATCCTGTTTGGCAAATTAAAATATTGGCAATTCTATATTGATCTTAAAAATAGTTTTTGCAATTTTGCCAGGGTATAAAATCCAAATGTCTGGGAGTATCTGAACTAGAAGACTGAACCAGGAACATGAGGTCAGATGATTGTGTGTGTGTGTGTGTGTGTGTGTGTGTGTGTGAGAGAGAGAGAGAGAGAGAGATTGGGGCTGGTGAAATAGGGATATTTATCAGCAGGGATTTCCCTCTCTCTGAAATAGCAGAAGAAAACAGATCATGGAAAAGGAACTGGAAGGAAGCCTAGGCATTGTCCCATCTGCCTCCCTGTACTACAGAGGAGACTGAGGCCAAGGAGGGAAAATGACTGGGCCAAATCACACAGGGAGTTAGCAGTCTATGCTCTCATCATTGTACATTGAGCGTACCTCCCCTTCCCCACCTGCCCCTTGTCCACACTTTGGCCCCTACAAAAAATACCTGAATAGATATTGTAAGGTAAGTAAGGTCAGCTTTGGCCTGCTGTGGCAACTGTAACTTTTTCTCAGCAGAGGCCATTTGTTTATGGCCAGAAAGTAGAAAACAGTCATTCTGATGATCAGACCAAGTTCCCAAAAGAACGAAGACCATATTCAGAAGATCTCACAAACGCAGGCCACTACAGACTGGCCTCTGTGAGTGACAAACTTCTCCAGCTTTGACAAGTTTAGCCCCACTTTAACTTTTAACCTTTCCTAGATCAAAACTAAAATCCCCATTACTGAATTGCTTCCCTCCTTGGAAGCAACCAACCACAGTCTGGTGTTTGCTTCCCCAGACTCTCCTCAAAATGACTCAGCACCAATACAAACTTTCTAAGAACTCCCTTTCATAACCTTCCTCAAGATTCTCTGTGGTCCTGTGGATTGTGTTCTCCTTTGACAAAGCATGTTCTATAGATCTCACTTTTTAAATTACAGATGTGCTCTTGGCAGTATTCAATATTTGGATATTAAATATCCAACAAATGTTTGAACCACAGAGTTCAAGCAATGTCATGGCTCAGAAAAGCAACAGAATTCAAGAGGACGTGGAACCACTGTAAGCATAGACATAGAATATGATCCTTATGTGAATCCAAAGTGTCCAGGAATAAAATCTTGTGTCCTAGGTCAACTACTTTATGACAAGGATGCCAAGACCATTCACTAGAGAAAATAGCAGTCTTTTCAACAAATGATGCTGGGACAACTGGATCTCCACGTGCAAAAAAGAATGAAGTTGGTGCGCCTCCCCTGGTGGCGCAGGTGGTTGAGTGCCACACTGTGAAACTGTCTGCAGCCTCTGCAGTGCCGGTTTGATCCCGCCCGGCCGGCCGCGAGGATCCCACTTGGTGTAGCAGACCTCTCCTGTCTCACCTGCTGCTCCCCTCAGCAGTGTGTTTCGTCAGTCTGTCTGTTCTCCTCCTCACTCTGTCTCTGGTGAATCCTCTCACCCTCCCGCGAATTTGGCCTGTACCCCAGTTCTTGTATAAATAAATAAATCTTTAAAAAAAAAAAAAGAAGTTGGACCCTTATATCATATACAGAAATTAACTCAAAATGGTTCAAAGAGCTAAATGTTAAGAGCTACAACTATAAAATTCTTAGAAGAAAATGTAGGGATATATGTTAACGACCTAAGATTTGGCACTGGGTTCTTAGCCCAAGCCACAATAAAAAAATAAATAGGACATCATGAAAATTAAAAATGTATGTCTTTGAAAAGGACACCACCAAGGGAGTAAAAAGACAAACCACAGAATAGGGAGAAATACTTAGAAATTCAATAAGGGATTTGTTTCTAGAATAAAGAATTCTTACAACTCAGTAATAAAAAGACAACCCAATTTTTAAATGGGCATAAAATCTGGATAGTTCTTTAAGGAAGATATACAAATGACCAATAAGTGCATAAAAAGATGCTTGACTTCATTTGTCATCAGGAAAATGTGAACCAAAACCACAACAAGACACTGCTTCACACCCATGGCTGTGACCCAAAATTTAGATCACAAGTGTTGGTGAGAACAATGAGCACTCTGAACCCTCAGACACTTCTGGTGGGAACGGAACATAGTCTGGCATGAAAAGTTAAATGTAGAGTTTCCTTATGACCCAGTAATTCCACTCCTACGTATATAGCCCAAAGAAATGAAAAAGTATCCACACAAAAACTCACACATTTACAGCAGCAGAATTCATAGCCAAAAGGTGGATAAAAACCCAAATGTCTAACTGATGAGTAGAAAAACAAAATGTGGTATATGCTTACAACGGAATATTATTTGGCCATCAAAAGGGAAGACAGACGCACCTTGGAGATAGCATGAATTCACTTCCGAATCACCATAATAGAGTATCACAATGAACTGAGTCAATCTTTTGGTTTCCCCGTACATATAAAAGTCACATTGACGCTGTAGTCTACTAGGTGTATAACATTAAAGGTGACAGACACAAACACAGTTGGAAAAATGGTGCCAATATTTGCTCACACAGAGTTGCCCACAACCTTTCACTTGTGAAAGGCAGTATCTGTGTAGCACACAATAAAAAAGTACATGGCAATCAAAGTGCAATAAAGTGAGACAGGCCTGTACTCATATATGCTACACCATGGAAGAACCTGGAAAGCATGCTGAGAGAAGGAAGTCAACCACAAAGGACCATGTATTATGCAATTCCATTTATAGGAAACATCCAGAATAGGCAAATCCATGAAGATAAATAGATTATTTGTAGCTTAGGACTGAGGGGAGTGGCGGGATGAGGGGCAGGTGATAGCTAAAGGGTTTGGGGTTTCTTCTCGAGGTAATGACTGATGCAGTGATGGTTGTACTTCTCTGTGAATATGCTCACTCAGTATATTACTGAATTGCCTGCTATGCAACTGTGGGCATGTAAATTATATCCCAATAAAGCAAAGGAGGTCAGACCCTCCCTTATGGAGGCTCCATTCTAAAGGACTGCATGGAAGAGATGACCTCATGAGCGTAGTTTCTACCAGACACAGAGAATGTGCTGGAAAAGCACGGCAGAGAGAGGCAAGGAGGGCTGTATTTGGAGCAACTGGGGAACAGGTGTCTGCACAGGCTCTTCCAAGAAACTGGATTTTCAGCATCTTTTTCTCTCGTAGCTTTAATGACATCACAAAATTTACCCATTTCCAATGGATAATTATATTTAATAAATTTACTATGGTGTGAGACCATCACCATAATCCAGTTTTAGAATATTTTCATCATCTCATAATTTTTCTTAGATCCATGAACTGTTAATCCCATTCCTGGAAACCACTAATTTATTTTCTGTTTCTATAGATTTACCTTTTCTGGAAAGGTCGCATTAAGTGGCATCATCTAATAGATGAGCTTGTATGCCTGCCTTCTTTCCCTTGCCTCATTTTGAAGGTTCATGTTATAGCCTGTTCCAATAGTTCATGGCTTTTTATTCCTGAGAGTTCTGAATTATCTGGACAAAGCACTTTTTGTTCATCCACTCACCAGGTGATGGACAATTAGGTGGCTTCCAACTGGGGAGCCATAATGAGGAAAGCTGCTATCAACACTTCACATGTAAATCTTTATATGATTTTCTGCTTTCATTTCTCTTGGGTAGGTTCCTAGGAGTGGAATTGCTGGCGTTGTGTGGTAAATTTAACTTAAAGAAGAAAAAACTGCCACACTCTTTTCCAAAATCTCACCATTTTACATTCTGTGGGGAACTGACATTTAAGCTGAGACCTAACAGATGAGCAGGAGCCAGCCACGCAGTGAGGGAGGAGTGCTCCAGGCCGGGCAGCCAGGAGCAGCAGCACTGCGAAGGCCCTGGGCCCTGGAAGGTAAAAGCCCATCTGGACAGAGAATTGGACCCCCTGAGGAGATACGGGTAAGACATTTTATGCTGAGCCACCTGTGAAAAATATGAAAATGAGTCTGTCAGAATGAGGCCCGGGGGGTAGAGCGGTGTGTACCTGGGATGTGGATGATAATGAGAGAATAGGAGCGTCTATGACGTGATGGGGGCTGGCGAGTCAGGGCACATCACAGCCTGAGGAGGCAGCACTAGCTTTGGAGTGAGGCCGACCTGGGTTCAAATTCCAGCTCAGCCTCTGGATGTTGGGCACACTTCTTAACCCCTCCGAGGCTCAGTTTTCGCAGCTGTAAAGAGGACTAACGTCCCCTGCCCGTTGAGGTCTGAGGCCTAGCAATAATGTGTCAAGAACCTGGCTGGAGGGGACCAGAGGCAGCAGGTGTATGGGGGAGCCCTCCAAACAGTTTAGCGCAGCCAAAGTGAAGAGTGGGGGGGGGGGGGCGCCAATGTGAGCTGGACTGAGGAGGGCAGAGGCACATTGAGGGGTTCTGTTTCCTGGAGATGATAACTTGATGTACCCTGGAGGCCGCAGGAAGCCAGAGGACTATTGGGCTGGCCAGGGGTGGGAGGCCCTGGAGTCGTGCAGAGAATGGTGAGTGCAGGGAAGCCAGGAGGGGACAAGCGGACCTGCAGTGATGGTGAAAATCCAGGCATGGTTATGATGAAGCCTGGTGGAGGCACAGGGAAAGCGTGTTAAGGGACCGGAGGGACCATCTTGGTGACCAAATTTCAGAGGAGGCGTGTGAGATGCTGGTCTCCTGGTGTCTGGCTTACGCTGAACACACTAGAACAGACTGAAGACTAGGACAGCAGGCATAGACTGGGGAGAAGGGGATGAGGTGTTCTATTTTGGACACACTGGGTAGGAGGGGCCTGTGGAGAATGCCCACCACACCATGATACATCGTCAGAAGACAGTTTCTGGGCGGCCCAGCGTGTGGGAGCGTCTATGTCCTCAGGAGCAGTCCCCTCTGGCTACTTGGCACAGATATGCCTGCTGCCCCTGACCTCAGGGAAGGGTCCCGCTCCTTCATCCACCTTGTCCCAAGCATGAGATTCCTTGATTCCCCACCTCCCTATAAGGTCTCAGCTGTGGCTTTCAGCAAAACTCTGATTTGACAAACACCAACAGGGCTCTTTTGAGGCAGAGTCACTCATCACTGCATCACTCATGGCCTTGCCCTCTGCCTCTTACCGCCAGCTCTCCAGACCTCGGTGTCTGGGCCAAATTGGCCCCAGGACCCAGAAAGCAAGGTTTCTCCCTTCTACGTTCTGGTGTGTCCCCAATATCCATGACCCTCTCTGAACTCCAGATTTGCAGCACGTGTGCCCACCTGGAATAACCTTGCTTCCAGGATCCACGCAGCAGGTCATCAGGAACTGATGACATGTGACTAAGTCTGGTTAATGGGATATAAGTGTTTTCACGAAGTGTCTGGAGAGGAAGATGGTAACCTTCATCGTTTCTTCCTCCTGACAGCTGGAATGCAGGTAGAATGTCTGGAGCTCCAGTAGTGACCCTGGGTCATGGGGTGAGGGTGATCTTGGGAATGGAAGCTATACAACAGAGCAACAGGAGAGCAGCCTGGCAGTGCAGGGCCCGTTTACATACTTTTCTATGGAGACTAGAATTCAGTCTATGTTGTGAAGGGCACCTCTGGAGACTGCAGACCAGAGTGCCTACCTCTGGACACTGTGCAAGTAAGAGAAATGTGCTCCAATGGGAATGACTGAGGACTTTCATTTGCAGCTGGATCTACCTACCCCTAAGCTCCCTGCTCTAAGACCCAATGCATGGCCTCCTTTCCTTTGCCCCTATTCACTTGTGCCCAGGATGACTGGCTGCTGATTCCCTTTAGGAGAAACCCCGTTCTGAGTGGATTAGCATGTGGCCCCACAGACATGTCAGCCAGGATTCCCCAAAGTCCAGATCATTCTGCCTTATGTCCCAGCCCAGTTCACCTTGTGTTGATTTACCTAGTGCCAACCACCCAAAACTGAGTGGCTTCACACAATTTATGTCTCATGAGTTTTCTGGGCATACATAGACATTTCTAACTTCGGGCCCCCCGCAAGGTTGTAGTCAGGTAGTGACTAGGGTGTGAGTCATCCAAAGGCTCCACCGGGACAGGCATCCAAGATGACTTCCTCTCACAGCCAGCAGTGGTGCTGCCGGGAGCTCAGCCAGGGTTGCCACTGGGTCCCCACCCGCGCTTCCCACAGGGCGGAGCTGGGTTGCAAGCAGTGTCCCAGGAGGGAGGGTTCCAGGAGACCAGCAGGAGTGCCAGCTCTCCTGTTCCAGCAGGCTTCAGCATCCCATCTGCCATATGGTTTGAGTGGGTCCAGGATCAAGTGGGGGCCTTCAAGGAGCACAAATACCCAGAGGCATGGCTCCTGGGGCCATCCTGTCACAGAGAAGAATCTGGAGCTTGGAGGGAAGCTGTGCCTGAGAGACACAGATGTGGCTGCCCTCTGCCTTTGGCATCTACGTGCAAATCCAGAGCCTGGGAATGGATGAGCTCTGTCCTTTGAAGAGACCTGTGATAGCTTTTCTTTTTTCTTTTTTTTTTTAAAGATTTATTTATTTATTTATTTATTTATTT